TGCTCTATTTTTAGAAGATGACATCAGCAATTACCCATCATTCAATGCTACAGGTACCAAAACCAAATGTTTGGAAGTCAGGAAGGTCGAAAAAAATAGGAATTGTTTCTTTTTTTTAAATTATACAAAAATACCTTGACTAAATTAAATAAATAATAAGCCTCTAATTAATATCAATGTTTGTTTACTAATTTGCTACAAATTGCGGAGCGATGCCAGCTAAAGTTAGCAGAGAGCTGCTGCTAGGTCCAGCTATTAAACCTTGGCTAAACCACCACTGTATGTTGAACAGTCAGCCTATTAGTGACGTGGAAGATTAGGTCGGTCTATCCACGAAACGATTTCCATAGCCTATTATGAATCGATACTTAATATTAGTTTGTCTTGCATTAACATTTAATTGATTATTCAACGATTTCTATGAATGTTTATTGAACACTACAAAATTAAGCCTAGATGTTGGTAGGCAGGCCTAGTTATAGGCTTCAACTTGACGTTTTTAAACTTGAGGGCGCTATTCTTACAAACTTCTCATTTACGAATTTTCTCAATTACGAACTGCTTTCAGCCCAAGGTGTACGTAAATGGGAAGGTCGGCTGTATGGGATGCGTGGAATGGGAGGAAAGTTGGTATGTGGTCGGATACAGCATTATATAAATATGAAAGCGGAGTCTGCGATGTTTTTACACTCAGAAGATTTTTTTTAAAATGTGAGAATGAATTTTATCAAATTGATTCTACAATTAGGAAGTAGGGCTATTAGAACTTAAATACAAAAAGATCAATACAAAATTTAAAAAATATAGTATTTATAGATTATCAAATATTTATATTACAATTGAAAGTGAATTTATGTAACTCCAGTAGACTACCAATAATCTCTGTTTTCTATGGATAATAAAATAGTAATGAGCTGGCCCTTGAATATTGTGCTCGTTGAATCTCATATGTGCCAAATTCAACCAATTTACTGTCTACCATAAGAAAATAGTGCATACTGCAAACTATTTAATGTATTTTAAAGGCAAATTTGAGTTTGAAGGCAAATGTAAAGTATTTAATCATTAGAGAATTATTGTCATTTATAATCCAAACAGAACAATCTTTGCCAGAATACATGAAAAGGTCACTTCATTCAATGTATTTCTTACAATTACTGTACGTTTGTATTATGATAATTATAGCAAGGTAATATACTGTTATATCACCATAAATATTGCATCGCAAAAAATCATGATTTTTCTATCATAATAATAATAATATTCAATAACAATAATAATAATAATAATAATAATAATAATAATAATAATAATAATAGTAATAATAATAATAATCACAATATGTAATACTAAATCAAAAATAATATTGATTAATAGAGGTAAGATTATAGAAAAGATAAAAATTTGTCATGAATATGCATAATGAAAAGGGAAAAGAATGGGGGAACAGAAAAGGTAACCACTCCTTTTACAGTAGGTTCAATATCAGTAGATAAAATCTAACATTTAATCTATTGATTAATCCCAAATTAGGAAAATACTAAGAAAAAAGCTTATATAGACCAACTACTTTTATATTTAGGGGAAAAAAAAGACAATTGCTCATTGTTGTTAACATTCATGAGCATATTTCATTTTTTTTTTTCACAAGGGATCAGATCGATTAGAAATTAACAGCTTTACATACAATTTAGAAGATTTTTTGAAGCATTCAAATTGTTCGATTAGAGTAAATGGTAAAACAGAAAGCCATATTATGGTGTTAATTCATGTAAAAACACAAACAAAAGAGTGTTAAGCGGCATGGAATAATGTGTGAGCTCAAATGCATCTATAATATAATGCAATAACAAATACTTAAGGTACAGGAGCTTGACATGAATAAGCAATCCTCTATTATTATTAATTATATATTTTCTAACATGATCACAGTAATTTGTGACTAGCCATTGCCAGTATGTAGAGTATGCATCTTTCATTGAGGAATGCTCATGGAGTTGGTAACAAAATAAAAGTAATCATAATATTAATAAAGCTTATAATTAAATTTTTAAAAGTAGGATTTTTTTTAATGAAATTATTTTAAAAAAAGCATAAACAATGGCGGTACTACGGGGGAAATTTTACCCCCAGATATATTTCTTGCCTCCCCCACCCGCAGTTTTGCCAGAAAATGAACACTGAAAGATTGGCCAACAAAAACTGCTCCGATCAGTCTGTCATTGCAAGGGCACTGGCCACTTAAAAACAATACAAAATTTTTTATATTTTTAATAAATATACTGAGCATTTAAATAAAAATAACAAGCACAATGTATGTTAATTTTGTGATTTTGTAAATTATCTCCATTGGCTATGGGAAAGCATATTGTTCCATCTCCCCTCAAAAAAAAAATGTTGCCCTTCACTTGCCACAGTCCAGATTTCAAGATGCTGGCGTCGCCACTGATGGTGAAATAGCATTTGATGCAACTTACAAAAACTTGCTTAAAGATTAGGATAATCATGTGAGTTTGACATTACTCTTACTCTTTACTTCTTCCTAATTACATAAGTCATTACTGTATATAAGTCATTGTTAGGCCCTGCCTAAAAATATTTTTTTCTGATATTCACTGAAATTGTTTTGCTGCATCTCTTCTTCTAATGGACAATTCCAGAGCGCCAATCAAACCTAACAACTGACCAATCAGGACAGGGCCAGGGATATGTGCATGTCCCATAAACACATTACTTTTCGTATGTTATGTTGTTTTGTGGAACCTTGTCCTAAGCAACAAAAGTTTGTCCTCAGAAACAAAAGGGGCCATGCCGGAAACGGTATATTCTATGAAAACAATGTTCACAAGAATTAGCCGTGTCAATGAAAAAGCTACAAAATATCAATGCAAAAATGTGATGATGCATAAAGTCTAGTAAAAACGTACAGTAAAACCAATTTGAATCTAGGCTTGTGTTACACATCAACTTGCCTTTTACTTTAGTGATAAACCTCCGTCTGTAGCCTGCGGATCCATGTCATACTCTTATTCATACTTCGTACATTTAGCGGGTAATAAAAATCTTACTGTAAAACTCAACGGGACTTGCAGGCATTATGGGATATAAAGTAGTGACCTTTTATCATTTTCATCATCAATCGTGTACATTCTGAGTATGTGTAAGCTAAACATTTTAGCTATATTGATTTGACTTTTAAGCAAACAAATTGATAAATTTAAGAAGCTAATTTCTAGTTTGATAAATCCGGCCCCATGCCCATGTCCTAGGCCTCTCTAGGCTAGGTGATGATTAGCCTGCGTATCAGTCACAGCTCTACTGTTCATACAAAGTTGCATCTTCTTTCTCCCCATTAAACAAAACCATAGTAGCCCTATGGTTAATATGTTGCATTTTCATGAGGGGTCAATTTGTTTAGTCTAAATCAACCATTTTTAATGAGTTTTTTAAAAGGATCTTATAAGAATGGAAAGTAGGCCTATACATGTGAATTCTATGAAATAATTTGTTACATTTTGTTACTTTTCAGTCATACTTTTAGTCTCGTCATCACCGAGGTCAGGAGGATTTGTCACAATTATGCACTTGTCAATTGTAGTCCCGGCCCCCCCGGACCCGGACCTAGCGGGGACTTAGCCGGGGATGTAATTTTCAAAACTGTTACATGCATGTAAAAGTCCCCGCCAGCTCCCGGCAGTGCAGGGCATCGTTTTAACGTATCCCCCGGCTAAGTCCCTGCCACTTACCGCCGTAGGCCCGGTAAAATGCCCCGCTAATAAATGATTGGATGAAAGACCTACTTGAAGCAAGGAGGTATAAAAATCTAGTCTACGTCTAAATCGGAGCAGCACGCGAGAGCTAGGCAGGAGCTAGGCCAATTAGCTGAGCTTGTTTGATGGAATCACTATGCATGCGTATCACTATGCAGCATGGAAGTTTGGAAAAGTGCGAACAAAAAGGAGACAGATTGATCATAAAAAAAGAAAATAATTGATTGATTGTATAATAACTGATTGATGGAATTTAATTATTCAATATCAAAACAGAAATTAGGCCTAAATAAGAAAATGAATACATTACAATAGTAGAACAGGTTTCCTTGCCTTGGCTCAGGTACTGGCTATTTTTGGCGAAACACGCTACTCACACGCGCCGCCACCTCGGTCCTCAGCGTTGTGAGGTTGGGGGTTCAATTTTTATTATGTAATTATACTGTGATCTATAAAAAATGAAACCATGATGGTAGACCTAAAGTACTGGTAGGCGATTTTTTAATTACCAAAATAGACAGTTGTTGACTGAATGCCAACCCAGTGTAGGCTAGAAGACCAGACCCGGTTTGAGAGCGCTAAGGCTAGACCTACACACCCGAAACCTCGGCTACTCTACGTGTAAAATTCCCGGCCCTCTCAGGGCCTGTTACATCTACTGGTAAATTTTTGGTACTACGGGGACACAACTATGCATACATCCCCGGCTCAGTCCTGGCAAGTGCCCCACTATGGCCCAGGTCCGGGGGGCCGGGACTACAATTGACAAGTGCATTATACCCACAGCCAATAAGTTGTAAGTTGGGCCCAGACTGTAAAATAGGTCCTGCACAGTATAATATCCCCTGCACTAAAATTTAGGCCTTGAAATCTGTCTGCACATTTCGAAAAAATGGGCCGATATCGCAAAAGCTGCTGAAATTTAAGCCTTTAGTTTAGGATCTTATACACAACCAATGTATTAACACAGTAAGTTTCTGCACCTACATACATACAGTATTTTTCTATCACATTTTTTGTGCAAAACAAAATACTTTAAAGTAGGCCAACATGGTAACTCAATCTTCAGTTCAGTACATCAATTAAACTCTTTTGGCCTGTTCAATTCCCCCTGCCCTCCAAGTATAAACGTTTGTGTATTTTTGACAAAACAGAGTAGGCTCCAGACAGTTTATGTATGAGACATGCATGACACAAACCAATTTAAAATTTAAAAAATGTAAATTTTACCTTGGTATGCAATTTGGTGATGTCCTATCCACTTCCCATGTAGCGAATAGTTTCATGGGTACCACCACTTTGGCATTCATTCCCTTGCCTGAAATCACCCTGCTACTGCTGCTAGTATCTGCCATAATGTAAGCCTAGGCCTAGCTCCTAGTAGGCCTAGTGAATCTGCCTGAGTATTGTCTTATTTATAGACAGACGATCAATACAGTGTAGGCCTAGCCTAGCCTACTGAGCATACTCGTTGTCGTACAGTCGACCATAATAATAATACAATATCTTTATTGGAAAACTAGGCCTACATCATCCATATATCATTTCATTGTCTTGATATACAAATCACATCATTAAATGTACAGGATCTGTGACAATGGTAATCAACAATATAGAACATCCACCTAAAATTCCTGCATGGTCCAAGGAAGAATTAACATCATAATCTGAACCCTCTTTCTGTCTAACTTTTTATCAATTACAAATCAAGCAGTATCTAAGAAGAGAAGTCTGGACGAGGAGTTTAAAATTACATATTAACATATTGAGGGCGCCGCATCAACAATTCCTTTTTTCATGTAAGAATTTGTGAGGCTGTTAAAAAATAGGCTCTTGAGAAAAGTCAACAATTTCAACTGAAGAAGTGACTAAAATGCTAGAAAATCGAAAGCTATTATGGCACGCCTCTGCCAAAACGGTGGATGTGTGGAATCAATTAGCGCCAACATGTACTAATTTACATACAAATTACGTTGATATGAAAGCAAATGTGTAGAATTTCTGACAGAATTAGGAGAAAACAGCCCACCAATCCCAAAAACATTTTTGAATCATTAAGGCTATACAGTTTTATTATTATTTATTAGACCTATATCTATGTCTATTCAACAAGAATCAATTTTGATAACAAGCACTACAGCATATCCTAAAAGCTAACGATTATATCAATGGGAGAAATTAAATCAAACTAATTCGAGACTACTTTAGGACTTGAAAGTTTGAATGGTTTAGGGTTTCAGTCTCCAATTATTATTTATTCATGTTTTCATCTTTATTCAACAAAAATCCATAACATTATTCTATTGCAACAAAAGCTAAATTGAAGAAATAAATTGAAAAACTATGACAGAGACATTACAATACAACAAAATTAAATCAAATATTGAATTGCATTACATTAAAAAAAATTACAATTATTTAGTTATAAATTAGTTACAATTACCGACATTATTAATTTACTTATTATTATAGGCCTATATATATAAAAAAAAAAACAGATCAAAAATAATTCACAATTCAGTGTGTCTGAAAAAATATTGCAATTTTTTTTAAAGATGGTTGAAATTAAAATTGGAAAGGAGGGACCAGAAACACAGAAGTATTAGAAACATCTAAATGGAGGCCAGAATGTAATTTCGTAAAGATGCTTGAAAGTTATGAACTACATAAATAACCCAGGTTTTAACGATGAACGTTGTACAGCCAGAGTAGGTCCTGCATTACAGCAGCTACCGGTATCTCTGCCCCTACTAACATGAGTTACCTATAATACACGACTCGATTGCGTGTCCCTTTATTATAATTTTATAAATAGGGAAGTACTAAAAAAAATATTAGATTGGTTTTCGGCACACGAAGTAGGTAAAGTAAAGTAAATACATCAATGAAAATAAAGTTTTATTTCTGTGGTGATACAGAAATTAATTAGATCTCCACCATTGCCAAAAATCGCTGATACAAGATCACGGTAAAAGTTAGTAGTAGTTTACTACCGGTATCATAAGAGTGCCATTTCTGGCCATCTTGTGGTACTATTTCCTCACATTTTCGCACCTTAGACAGGGACCACAGCCCCGACCATGGTCGGGCTGAGGCAATGGTGGCGCCAGGACCTGCCCGACGGAGGGGCTAGGGCCCCCGACGGGGTGGGGGAGGCTAGTGGAGCGAGTCTCACTTGGCTGGGGCCAGGGGGCCGCCTAGGGCCCCCGGTGGGGGTTTCTACGGAAGCCACGGATATTTGATGAATTATGGCGAATTTTTATTACTTATTTGATATAGGCATCGAGTTACTATAATATGACTTCATGTAGGCTATGCTTTCTAATGTTGAAATCAGCTTCCAAAACCAAAACATTTTGAATAAAGCAAGAAACAAATAGTATGCAATGTAACCATCTAATTTATTTTCAAATCCTCATTTTTGAAAGTGAAATTCTATATTTTGGAAATTTTGCATGAAATCTCTCAACCACGTTGTCATGGTGGAGGTTGCTTCACCTATCACGATGTATTCCAACCATCATGATGCTATCTAAATGAGCATTTGTCATAACAGAACGCAAATAATTTTTAATTAGTCTCATTGGATTATTATTATTATTACTATTATTATTATTATTATTATTATTATTATTATTATTATTACTATTATTATTATTATTATTATTATTATTGTTGTTGTTGTTGTTGTTGTGATGAAAAGTTAACACAAGCGATATGGTGGCTAAACGAAAATTACATGTAAATATTTTTTTTTAAATTTGTTTGTTCCCCGACAAAATTTATCGTCTTCCCCGACGGGGGGGGGGTGCTTCCCCGACGGGGGGGGGGGGGGGGGGGGGGCTAAGCTTCCCCGACAGGGGGCTATTTCCCCCAGCCCCCCTCTGGCGCCACCACTGGCTGAGGTGGGTGTGGCTTTGAAGTAGGTAAAGTATTTATACTACCGAAAATGATAAAAGATCATGGTGATGTGATGATGTTGAATTTTACTAGAGTGTCATTTCTGGACATCCTGAGGTACTATTTCCTCAAATGTTTGCACCTCTGCCCCAACCTTGATGGGGTTGAGGTGGGTGTGGACTCATGGCTTTGAAGTAGGTTTTAATTTTTATGGTACATCACACATATTAATTACATCTCTGTGGTTCATGAGAAACAGCACTAGGGCCTAATGGTAATGTGATGATGATGAATGTTACTATTATAGGCCTAGGAGTGTCATTTCCACAACCATGATGGGGCTGAGGTCGGTGTGGTCTCACGAAATCCCCAATACCCAGTTTGCCGAATCTGCGAAAGTACAACATAGTGCACTGTGCTTTTCAAAACACGATGGGTGGGCTAGGCCTACAGTGCTTTTGAAATCATGATGGATGGATCTATGAGGAGTCATATCTATATATAAATTAAAAGGCAAAAAAAGTGGAAAACAACAATGCTGTGGGATAAAGGATACTGTAAATTAAGAAATGAAATTCAAAAAGACATTAGGAAGGCCAAAACGCAATTTATTATGAACAAACTTTAAGAAAACAAATCAAATCCGAGAGTGTTGTGGCAACAACTCAAAGGTCTAGGCTATAGTAAGAAATCAAATGGAAAATCAAATGTATCTTTTAGACATAGATGGCCAGGTTTCTTCCGATCCTTCTAATATTGCAAATCACTTCAACAAATTCTTTTCCAATATTGCGTCCTTTCTAGTCAAAAAACTTCCAAATTATGTAAGATTTATACACAAGAAACTGAAAAATTTTCAGAATTTTACCTTCATAAAGTAACTGAAGCTGGTCGTTTTAAACTGGAAGTTATTGATGAAGAATTTAATTTGTTGAATCGCAACTTAAATGTATAAATATTTCAAAAGCTACCTAACTTGATAATATTCCAGTTAGATTTTTAAGAGATGCTGCTACAGTTTTGAAAGTGCCAATTACTAAAATTGTAAACATTTCAATTACCAGCAATACGGTACCAGATGATTTTAAGCTGACTAAAGTTAGACCGTTATATAAGAAAAATAAACGTACAGATGTTAATAATTATAGACCTGTAAGCATTTTATCTGTTGTATCTAAGATCCTAGAAAGAGTCGTACATCAACAACTGAAGGACTGCCTTAGACAAAACAACTTTTTATACGAGTTACAGTCTGGCTTTAGAGAATCTCATTCCACAGACAGACACGTGCCTTATTCAACTAATCGATTATATGTAAAACACAAATGTCGGAAGGCTTATATTCCGGTATCATACTACTAGATCTCGAAAAAGCGTTCGATACTGTAAATCATGACATTCTGTTAAATAAGCTAAAATGCATTGGTGTTGATCCCACTGATTGGTTTAAACCTAACCGGTAGAAAACAGGTGGTAAACATTCATAATGTAACATCTGACCCACAAGAAATTGTTTGTGGTGTGCCACAGGGCAGTATTTTAGGTTCATTGTTATTTCTTGTATACATCAATGATATTTCTATTAGCATTGATCCAGAATGTAAATTGTTTTTATATGCCGATGACACCGGAATTGTTTACTCGCATAAAGATCCAAAAACTATTCAAGAGAAGCTGGGATCCAACATTGTTAACTGCAAAATGGTTAGTGGATAATAAGCTATCCCTGCACATCGGTAAAACCGTCTGTACTTTATTTGAATCAAGTCGAAAACTTAAACAAGCAAATGAATTTAAAATTGAATGTTCAGGAAATATAATCAAGAGGGTAACATCTATAAATTATCTAGGATTAGACATTGACCAACATGTGTCCGGAGAGGCTGTAGCTAACTCGGTAATTAAAAAAGCAAATTCTAGATTGAAATTTTTATATAGACAGGCAGAAGTGCTGAATCAAAAATCACGTAAAATCTTAGCATCTGCACTTATTCAATGTTTATTTGATTACTCTGCATCCTCTTGGTACGCAGGCCTAACGAAGAATTTAAAACATAAACTTCAAACTATACAAAACAAGATGATAAGATTTATAACGAATAAGGGCCCTCGTAGTCATGTTGGTCAATTCGAACTATCAGAACTCGGATTTTTAAAAGTTGGTGATCGTGTTAAATTTCTCCGTCTTTGTCACGTTTTTAAAATATTTAACGATATTAGTCCTGTGTATATGAGTAAAAATTTTTCTAGAATATCGATGAGTCATAATCACATATACCCGAGGTAGTTTCTTAAATTTCCAAATTCCAATTATAAAAAGTGTTGCTTTTTCTACGTTTTATTACAATTCTATAAAAGATTGGAATTCCCTGCCAAAGGAAATTATTAACAAGCATGTCAACTTTCAAGATCAAAACTAAATGTTATCACGCAAACCAAACTGAAATGTTGTAATACATTTAGGCCTGATTTTAATGCAAAATGTAAATACTAATATAGTTTTAATAAAGCTTTTCTGCTTTTTAAAATAACCGATTACATTTTCACTTTTTTTTATTGTATTATGTTTTAAAGGTATTTTTATTCTTACGATTTTTTACATTTTTACATTGTTTTAAATTTTTTAATTTTTGCCTTGAAATTTTATACTTTTAATAATTGTATTATCACATTTTAATATGCCATTTTAACCTACAATTTTATGCTATGCGAACTTTTAATTTAATTTTATTTCTTTTTTTCTCTCAAGGACCCTATTGGAAATAAGTCGTTCCATACAACTTTCATGGGCTCTCCTAGTATACCTTGTGTTCAACATCAGA